CTCGGGTTGCTTTGCGTCTCGGCGGCTTCTTTGTGGGTTTCGAGACTCTCCGCCGAGTGCACCCTGTCGTCTATTCAGCAGACATTTGCTACATAAAAACTGCCACCTTTTCATCCAGAGTTGATAAGCTTCTAGCTTGGTGCTATCTCAATCCCTCAAATTGATGCCGCTGGGATCGTATGGCACCGTGCCTCATGGTGTTGTGTTTTGGTAGGATCACGCTGATAACGCAGCGCAACCATGGCTTGCATCTACAGACAGACATGATTTATGGCTGAAGGAAGGATGTGCGTATGGTAGATCGGTCAGGGGAATTTGCGTGGGATGGCAGCACCACTACCTGCGCGTAGAGTTACGGAATACCACACCGAGGTCGCCTAGACCTAGATTTCGAGGTAACCCTGTAAAAGATTTGGGGTCGGATGGTGGCGGGAAGACCAGGGGCTCGAAGATGTTACATATGGAAGCACATCACTGAAAGAGGAAGAGCAAAAATGGTTCCTTTGGAGGAAGAGGCTTGATGAAGAGAAAAGATGCTTAACAAGGTTGTTGCGAAATTGAAATTTGATATCACGACATGACTAACACTAACTAACACAAGACATTGACATTAACATTGGCATTGGCATTGGCATTGGCATTGGCATTGGCATTGGCATTGACAATGTGCCACAGCATATGTGTCTTTCAAGAGAGCGATTGTCTTGCCTCTGCCACCTCTGATGGCCTCGGCAGCCTTTGATTCGGTTCTTCCAAGTTACACAACAGTACAGGGCGCGCGTCAGCTCCAATGCATGCGCGACGCCGCACTACGCTGCAGACTGCGGTCCAACGGTCATGCCGTGAAACCAGAGAGTGCGAGGATGCAGACCAGAGAAGCTTGAAGGGGTGTGTCTGCGTTGTTCAACATCAAGTCAGGTGTCCTGACGTATAATGGTGGTGGGTGTCCAAGATAAGAAGATGCCGTCGCTGATGAGTGTGAGTGGGAGCAGGGATACTAGGGGTTCATGCTCATATGAGTCGAGTGTGAGGGGGGTGCCACGTCTTGACCTTGTCAGCCACGCATGGCAACTTTTGAGCTTGTTTTGCTCACGAAACAAGCAAATGGAGGAGGAGGAGAAGTAGTAGTAGTTTTCATAACTTGGATGTACCGTCGATCTGCCAGGATATCCCCAAACTGCGCTGACCGGCTGCAAGCAAATCTATTCTGGCTCTGTCATGTTCTGCTTTGCAACGGTTCAAAGGATCCCCGCAGGACTGTTATCACAGCTTCTCTCTTCTGCACCGACTTATCATCTAGTCTATCATGGGAGCGTCATCGTGCCTGAACGGATCACGGTAAAACTCACCCAGCCACTAATTGGCTTGGCTGCGGGTATTGAACTTGGAGACGACAAGATATCAGCGATAAGTACTGTAAGCGCCTCATTATCGACGGTCATATCCCGACAAAATGCGACCCTGTTCTTGACTGCGCTGTTACAGTAGAGTTGCATCCGTCGCAAGTCTAGGCGCCTTGGTCTGCTGCTTTTGAGTTTCCGCCCTCGTACTGCATTTGGTATGGAGGTCAATCGATATCCTATCGCGGCGCGGATACGTTACAGTAGAGTAGAGTAGAGTAGAGGAGAGCAGAGTATGTAGTGACCAACACACAGCATAGCACAGCAAAGCACATTGAAGACCCCTCCGGCCGTTCGTCCGGCCGACAAAGTCCCACCCGGGGCCCGCAATCTACCGGCGCCATCAATATCGACATCGACCGATTCCGTCTAAGCCCTCTCGGCAAAGGCAACCTCACGCGGTAGACGGAATGAAGCGCAAAACATTCTCTTTGCTGGAGCGACGTCTCGCACATCGTAGATGAGCACCTCACCTTGGTTCTCGGGATCGCCCGGTCTGAGTAAGACGCCAATCTCCTTACGTATCCGCTCGCAGATGTCCATGAGGGGTGTCTCGTCATCAGCCTTGACCGAGAAGCAGTGCACGTGCACCATGGGCAGCTTGGTCTCGGTGTGAGGCTCAAACAGCTCCTCGTGGCCGTGGTACAGACCGCGGTAATTGTGCGTGAACTCAATTGCGGATGCCGGGAGGTTCATGACAAAATGTGAGATCGTTGGTGGCACGGGCACTCGGACAGGCTTCGGGGGCGGAGCCGTAGAGTTTCTTGGTTGCCTTGGAGGCTTGATGACGGCACAGTCGCCGCGCTTTGATGCCTCCAGGACAAGGTCTGCGGATGTGCGGATGAAGTCGTGGCCATCGTAGTTGAAGGGCTTGACGAACTCCGAGACCTGCATCTGAATGTTAATGTCGAACCATAATGAGACGACAGCGGCAGTGAGCTCACCTTATTCCTGCGGATCGCTTCCTCGAGGTAGCGGTAGCTCTCTGGGTTCTTGTCGTTGGCCCAGACAAAGACGCCCTTCTTGCCGGCTGGCACCGCAAACGGTCCAATACCAGCCATGACATCTGCAACAACCTCTCCAGGCCCGAAAAGTCCTGCAATCCGTTTGTGTTCTGTGTCGAGCTTGCTGTTCCAGTATACCTTGGAGTAGTCGAACTTGAAAACGCAGCCGGCCTCGCTCACCTCCACGTTCATATCATCAGGACCACCGAGGACTTCGTAGGCAAAGGTCCTGAACTCGTTCTCTGAACCGACATTATCGATCTTGTTGATGACGGTTTTGATGTGAGGATTCTTGTCTAGAAGCACTTGTGCAATGATGTTCTTGTAAGGTAGGTACTGATCACGGATGTTGAGATGGGCTGCGCATACATGTGTTAACAAGGATGCTGGTCGTTTGATGAATGAGGAGCATACCGATGTGTCCCACAGTGTTGAAACCGCTTGGGATTTCCTCGTGAAATTCCTCTGGAAGAATGGATTTCATAACATCAACTCGTACTTGTCAGTGTCCGCTTGTCTTGTGAGTAAGGCATGTGTTCAGACGTACGATACGACCAAGAGTCATATCCAATTTCAATATCATACGGCACCACCTTGATGTCACCGGCCTTCGAGGCTTCTTTGAGGATGGGACTCCATGTGTCTGGGGCTATTGTCTTCACGATCAGCGTACTTGACATCCATTTCGTCGAACATTCTACAACTTACACGTAGGCTTAATCTGAGGCGCCAACACGATACATTTTTTGCCCTGAGAAGCAAGCGACGGGTCTGGATCAGGCAAGACGGGATTAAATCTCTCCATGAATAAAACCTCCTTTGTCTTCTCAAGCTCCTTTCTATACTTGGACAGCAGCCTATTCTCCTTGATAGAAGCCGCCGCAGCGTTGAGAGTTTTTGCAAAGAGGGTCCTATCGAGTGTCTTTGCCGCACGAGCAGCTGGTGCCCGGAAGAGGTTCATTTCTCGCAACTGTGAATTTTTCTAAGAATTTTGATGCTCATTAGTTTTCTTCTATCTTGTATCTAGTGACAGGGGTTGAGAACTAACATCCATAATGACCTCAGGTGTTGTTGGATTTTTTTTTTTTTGGCGAAAATGCATTGACTGACAGACTGACATGAGTCAAACAAAGGTCTTGACTATCCGTACCTTATTGTTTCCCTGGTCCCTCAGTGAGTTAGACCTTGGAAATGAGGCTGAGTGAGTGTTTTAGGGCTCGAATTTAAATGGCCATGCACAGCCACCTGTATGCGCCACAGTTTCACTTACACGCAAGGCTGGGAGTTGGGAGTGATGTCACGACTTCGAGATACCTTACATATTCACGGTTGCCAATCGTTGTTTGGGCAAAGAAACTCGGTTTCGCATAATTTACCAACTTTCACATCTGAGGCTGCAGTAATCTTTAAAACCAATCCTATTGCAACATCTGCCGTCATGTCTAGGAAGCGTACTCTAGATGCCTTCTTCAGCCCGACTGTAAAGAAACCCAAAACAGACACCGGAGCAATCACTTCCAGTGACGTGATTTCAGAAGACGTGAGAGATCATTCCACATAAAATGCACACAAGAACCCCTAAAAGTGAATCTAACGGCCATAGACCGCATATTCTGAGCATCAGTTCTACCCTCATCCCATCAAGAACCTACCAGCATATTTAAGCAAGGAGCTGTCTACTCTGCCAGATCAACCCGGAAGAGAGATCAATGATCACCCTGACCTTGACCTCCTGTACTTTGAGCCCTTCATCTCAGGTTCCGTGTCTCGAAGACTCTTTGAGTTTCTTCGTTCAGAACTCCCGTTCTACAGAGTCGAGTATAAGATCAAGCGAGGTGGTATAGAAACCCAGATACGAACTCCAAGGTAAGCTGTGTTGCTCTTGGAAGAAACCATGCTAATAAAGGCTATCAGATGGACCACTGTATTTGGTCTTGATGAGACTTCAAAGTTCGATGACAAAGGTCTCCCAGTAGACGCCAACACGGGCTTGGAAGCCTTGGATAAACGATATGCCAGATATCCCCCTAGGCCTATACCAGAATGCCTTGATGAACTTCGTCACAGAACTGAGCTGGCTACAGGCTGTAAATACAACTTCTGCCTCGTCAACTACTACGCCTCTGGCACCGACAGCATCAGCTTTCACAGCGATGATGAGCAGTTCTTGGGTCGTGAGCCAGCCATTGCTTCTTTCTCATTAGGGGCACGTCGTGATTTTCTTATGAAGCACAAACCGCCACCTCCGAATGCTCCTAGTCCCCCTTCCGTGAACGCGAAACCGCTCAAACTTCCATTGGGAAGTGGTGACATGGTGCTGATGAGAGGGAGAACGCAGTCTAACTGGCTGCACTCTATACCAAAGCGAACAGGGAAGAATCAAGAAGATGGCGGAAGGATTAACATAACTTTTCGGAGAGCGATGGTCAAAGGAGGAACAGATAATTACTACAACTACAATGTAGGAACAGGGCCAGTGTACAGATGGAACAGGGAGGCCCGAGAAATGCTGCTCTGGAAACCATGAGTCCAGATATGATTATTTCTAAGGTATATGAAGTATGACCAACAAAGGGAAATTTATACAACAGGTAACTTATTTACCATGGCGCATCTGGGCTCTCCCGTAATGCTGCAGAGCCTTGAGGAAGACCTGGTACCCAACTCTCTCATTGTCTTGCAAACAGAAAATCTCAGTCAATCTGATCTGCCAGGGAGGATAGCCTGACAGTTCGAGGTAGGGACCAAACGTAAGCAAAAGATCAGGCTCATCCATGATGCCCTCAGAAAGCTCAGCATCAATCAGTTCCATGGAGATATCGTGAGGAGAAAGCTTGCCCCTCTGCGACATTTCGGCCAAGGTACGTGTGAGATCGACCATGGAGTCACGGCCGTCTTGCTCAGAGATGAGGTGCAGACGCAGATGCTCCTTGGGCTTCTCACCAAAGGGCGCTGGGAGGTCCTCCTTATGGGGTGATGTAACACTCAGACCAGGATGCTCGGGGCCAAAGTAGAATGCGAATTTTTGGTTAACAGCATCGTAAACTCGGGGCATGTGCTTCTTGAGGATCCCTGCTACATGTTAGAAGATGTATAAAAGTATCACATGTGCCTCTACGAACCTGTCTTCTCGTACACAGAAAGCATCGGAATCTCGGCGCAAGCGCACCATGTCGCAATCTCGGCTACCTCGTCAAGGAGCCGCTCGACATCAGCCTTTGTGCGGTGATTCTCCTCAAGCTTCAGAATAACACTGAGATGCTTTGGCTTTTTCGTCAAACCGACCAGGTCCTTCTTAATGTATTGCGGTGTTCCATGATGATATTTGACGACGGATGAGATTTGGTAGCCCACCACGTTCCAGGTCTGGCGTATCTTTATGTAAAGGGAGAAGATCCCATGCATAATGGCAAAGATGAGGATGTGGATTTGGTTGAGGATGAAGCGACGAAGTCCTAACCGCGAACGTCGCTGTGGTCGAGAGTTTGAGCCTAGAGTAGGCGGAGGATCGTTGGGCTTAGGGAGATAAGACTGCGATGAGTTAGCATGGCGCACTACAATCATGCGCACTTTGCGACCATACATTGAGCATCCTCTGCCTCTCCTTCTCTGATAACAGTGTATGGTCTTTGGTTTCGTCGGCCCTGTAGGCCTGACGATCGCGAGTCGTCATGATAGGCATGGCTATTGATGTGCAGCCTCGAGGCTGTCTAACAGGCGATTGCAGCTGCGAAAGCGTGTCCGAGGGATTGAGATGTTGGCGACAGGATTTCGACTTTGTGAACAGTCAAACAGGGATGCGATCGCGCAAACAACCGAGGATGTGCAGGCTTATAAGCTTGGACAGGTGAATGTGGGCAGACGTGTATTTAAGTCAAGACAAGGCCATGGCAAGAAAAGTCGTGGCGGTGCGATATGGGTTACGTCGCTTTTCTCCACCGCAGCTCTTGGCCTTGCAGGTCACGTACGTGCCTGTGGCTCAGCTCCTCCTCCACTGGAAATCGGCAGCTGATAGCGGGGCTGGGCGCTGTAAGCTGAGCCTCTGGAGCTGCGACAGCGGGCGGACATAGGTACATATCTACCTAGGTAGGTAGGTAGGTACTAACTTAAGCTCGAGGTCCAGTGCTTCACTCGGGCTGGGTACGGCAAGGTATTCTAACCTATTGATCGCCCTGCAACGCAATGCCATGAACCCTTAACGACCGACAACGAAACGAGATTGACGACGCGAGCAAACAGTCCACACTACTACCACGTTCCTCCTCTTCCAAGTATCGACTGTCGATGATCCCTCTCCACATGTAGGGCCTCTACGCTCATCAGAAACAACAACATGGAGCGCACCGCTTCTGGCCCCAAGACTCTCTTCCCGAGAGGGCCAAGCTTCACTCTGGACGACTTCTCCAACAAGGACTTTATTGTGCGTGACTTTGTCGATAGCTTAGCAGAGAGCGCCGTGCCCTCGAATCGCCGGTCAGGGAGTGCGCAAACACCTTTCGATCCAAAACCCCTTATTCGGACATTTGAAAGTATGACCGGCGTACACTTTTCGACTTATATATTCAGATCCAATCGTGCTGACCCGAGCTGTTAGATGCCCTTGATCAACTAGGCTCGCTTGGAGCTGAACTCCAGGAGAAGGAGTCAGAGCTTATGTCCCATGTGCGCCGTGCAGAGGTAGCTCACGATTCAACACTCGAGACCCTAGGCCAGAAGCTCGACGAGTCCATGAGGGCCTTCGAACAGTTAGATCTATCCCTCAATCAAGAACATTCTTTTAAAAATGGAGTCGGCATAAAAACACACGCTGGCGGCAACATTGCGCTCCAAATCGGCGAGAAGCTCGAGGACCTGGACAAGAAACGACGGCGTGCGAACGATGCCATATTTCTGATTCAGTGCTGGACGGAGGTCAGCGAGACGGGAAAGCTATCACTCCTACAAGACGTCCAAAGACAGGCTGGTTCTGAGCACAAAGTACGGTGCGCAATGATTGTTCGACAACTCATGCGCATCAGCCAGCGACTTGATCCAGCATCGTGGGGGCAGACGAACGGCCAGCGGAACGGGGGACAAACGAATGGTGTGGTTGGAAACATCAGATTACACAACACCAGGGAAGTCTTGGAAAAGTTCTGCGAGACGCTCGAGCAGGACCTGCTTCAACAGTTCGAAAACAGCAACAAAAAGGGCAACTATAGTGACATGATGGAATGTGCAAAGGTTCTTTACGACTTCAACGGAGGTGCCAGTGTCATCGCGACCTTTGTCAACCAGCATGCCTTCTTCTTGGACCGCGATCAACTCCTGGCCGATGAGGTTCAGGTGGATAGCGACACATGGGAACAGCTGGCAGATCCTGACTCGGAGCCGCCAACGGTGGAACCAAGCCTGCAGAACCTCTTGGACGAGATCAAGATCGTCATGCAAGACGAGTCCAACCAGATCAAACTCATCTTTCCGTACTACGAAACAGTGCTTATCAAGTTCATTCAACGAATATTTCAGCAGTCAATCCAACAGAGGCTCGAAATGGTATTGGATGAAACTCTCAAAATCTCTTCTTTGGCTTTCCTGAGAGCCTTGCACTCCTCAAGAACTTATCTAGGATCATTGGTCGAAGACCTCAAGTCCCATGGCTTGACAGAACACCCCGAGCCTTGCTCCGCCCAAATAGCACACACACTTGACCAGCAGATGGAAGAGCTTTTTGTGCCATATATGATAGGCAACTCGTACATCGAGCGGGAGAGGAAGAGCCTGGAAGAAATGTACAGCTCCCTGCTCTTCAAGTATAGTATATACCATTCCAGGCGGAAAAAGGCGCCCACTGGTTTCATGGCTTCACTGGCCCAGCAAGGCACACAACTGATTGCCTCCGCAAAAGATGCCTATATCGAGCGTCTCGACTCGTCAGAACTCACAAGCACACAGAAGAAAATGATGCTGCGTGTTGCTGGCGTTCAAGATAAGGACAAGGATAACAAGAACGAAATCGAGGTCTCGGAAGAGGACGGCGCTTTGAGCGTTGCTAATGCCAAGCGCATGCTCAAGTGGTTGGCTGAGAGCGTCCAGCGCACTCTTGAGCTCGGAACCCAGACCGATACTCCCAAAGATGTGAATACTCTCCTGAACCTGCTCTTGACGAGCCTGGGCCAGGTATACATCGAGACTACTCTGGATGCTGCCCTTGACCAAGTCTCTATGCAGGAGAACACAAAGACTGAGCCTGATCTATCTTACTTACCAACGATACAGCCAGCTGTCACAATCACAAGTCTCATGGATCGGTTCATCACAGTCGTGCTCATCCGGCTTGCGGAATCAAACACAACAGTCAGGCGTAGCATGGAGGCGCAGAAGAGGGTGGCCATTAGTAACATTGAGAAGAAGACAAACAATGTCATCAAGGGCACTATTGACGTTGTGTCAAATTGGGTGACCAAGTCCTTAGCTGGCCAGCGGAAGCAGGACTTCCGACCAAAAGAGGTCGAGCTCGACTCATTGCAGACGCAGACGTGTCTGAGCATCTGTACTTTCTTAGCCCGCGTCCAGCGTCTCGCTCGTCAAGCTATCGACGGCCAAAACTCAGAGAAGTTCTTTACCGAACTTGCTCTGGTGATTCTGAAGCTGCTCTTTGAGCACTTCAAGAAGTTCCAGGTCAACGCCACAGGAGGTCTGATGGTCACGCAAGATATCGCAAAGTACGTTTCCACGATGCGTGAGTGGCCATTGACCAAGGAGGTTGGCTCCGCTGTCGAGATGCTCACTGAGATTGGTTCTCTCTTCATCGTCGGCCCCGAAGCACTCCGCGAAAAGACACGAACACTGGCGGCATCGGGCATAAGGGGGAAGTTATCCAGGGCAGACTTTAGAGCGTTTGTGCAGAGGCGTGATGACTCGGGGACAGTGGGTATTCAGAGCGTTTTGAGTGGTCTTTGAGCGTTGGTGCAAGAGGCGGATCATGGGAAACTCTGTAGAATATGTTGCAGAGAGATGTTATTTTGTAGCCATGAATGCATTGAATGAGATACCATGCTCTATCTTCGTAGTCCAAGGGCTATTGTCGATGTGGTACGGAGAAGTGGTTCATAGGTCTCGTCTCATGCCACCATCTCTCCCCGTCTTTTGTTCAATCTTCTCATCGAGGAAGTCCATGATCTCACAAGTGTTGGCCAACTTCATGAGTTCCGCGCGCTCCTTCTTATCAAGAAGCGATGCCTTGTCAGACCCCATGCCCGGCGCTGTCATTTCCATAATGTGGTGTTGTACCAGCTTGAATGGCACAGGGGCCTTTGCAACCTTGCACATGAAGGTTTCAACAGCTTCCCATGGGCAAGCCGAGTAGCCAGCGAAGATGGCTGGGTTAGCAAGGAGACCGCGGGCGGACATGAATCCAGAGAGTTGGGTGTTACTAGGGCGTGGCATGTTCACAGCGGAGTTGGTGTCGCCGAGAACAAGTTTGTCTAGTGAGGGGAGGGGAGAGTCATTATTGGTGGTGATGGTGGGTTGAAAAGGGAGAGTGTTGAGGTCAAATACATCCCCTGAAAGAAGTATTGGGAGTATTTTCGAGTACTTGGCTGTCAAGATCTCGAGGGCTTCGGTCCTGATTGGTGTGGTTGATGGGGTTGATCTTGTCCGAGGGTGAATGGTGATCCAGTCAATCTGGCGGTTTTGTGGGTGACCTATCACGGTGTCTATGAAGTCCATGGTTTGCCTGAATGTGTCAGTGAACCTATCTTTCCTGAAAGAGAGGCCGTACCTGAGATCGTTGTGAATCCTGATTTTCACACTCACACTTCGGCCTTTGGGACTGTCAATGTCCTTTTCAAGGCCAACACCCCATCCATCACTCTCCAGACGCTGTCGAGTTTCAACCACCATATCCCTTACCAACTCACGATGGTTCATCAATGCAGCACCTAGCGTCTCAGCACAAGCCCATGACTGTGGGCATCCGCAGTTGAGATCGACGCCTTGGGTATAAGGCGCAACGAGAGCTGATGCACGAGCAAGTTCCAGGGGGACGTTTGCGCCGAACTGCACGATAGTTGGTGGTTGATTTGGTGTAGTAGAGATAGTCAAATCTATTCCAGTATATCAGCTTAGAGGTTATCATACGCTCATACTGTGACCAACCGCTGTCTCGGGCAAAACTGCTTCGATTAAACTCCTTGGCAAGGATCATAGGAGACCAACATAAATCAACTCCATATTTGTGAACTGTTTGTCGAAATGCCAACTAACAAAGATGAGCAGTTTTTTCTTTCAAGTATTACATTCACCGAAATATACCTTTCCATATCGAACCATGGGCGCAAGAGCATATAAGAAACGATCCTGTTTCCTAGCCACATCAAAGATTTTGAGTGGACTATTCATAATGTTAGGCATACCCTGGACATAGCGGAACGATGGTATGAACTTACTGGTCAGACTCACACTTCTCACCGATCGACATTTTGAGAAAGAATACAAGAAGCCAAGAGTAAATCCTTATTAGTCGCGATGTGCTTCTCGGTCTGTAGTGAGATGTATCGTAGTTGAATTACTTTGGAAGAGAGGTTTTTTGTGCAAGTCGGGGCACGTGACTGGACTTTTACTACTAAAAGGAAGAACACGTCAAGAAAGAAACATCACTATTACAAAATAACGACAAGCTATGTTGAGTGTTATGATTACTATTTGTATACTGTCTATACTATCTAAAATGCCGTAGCAATAACATAGTGACCGTCCCCAGAATCTTCTGACTCTACCGCAAATATGCTGTCTGCATCACCTTCAACCTCCTGAGCCTCCCGTTCATTCAGCAGCTTCTCTCTCTCCAGTATCACAGCCTCAAGCCACTTCTTCTCAGCTGCCATACGCTTCATAATTTCCGCCTCTTTCTCCTTACAAGAGTCGTCTAGCCGGTGTTTGGCGCTATACATGAGCTCCTCTCGGTATGTTTTGTTATCTTCGAGTTTGGCCTCCAAGACCCTGAGCTGGTCGGCCTTCCACTTCTGCCATGCGTGGTGTTTCTGATCCATACGCTTTCTGAGAGAGAGCATTGAATTCTCAACTTCTTGGTCTCCGTTATCCTTATCTTCCCAATATGCTTTGAGCCGCTCGTGGTAAGCTTCTTCAAGCTCATTCTCCTTCGCTGCTCGAACTCGGAAGTCCGCATTCAGTGAGTTTTCCTTTTCAGTCATCTTCGCTAGTGCGAGTGCTTTCAACTCAGATAACTCCGTCTCGTGTTTCATTTCCAACTCTTGCTTTGCAGCTCTGATGTCAATAATCATATTCTCAGCTTCCTCTTCTTGGTCAACATCGAGCAATACTTGTTGCAGGTCATGCAACTCATCGAGCACGGTTCTCAGCTCTTGATACTTGACTTCAATATCCCTCCGACGGATACTCTCCTGCCGTACTCTTTCCTCGAGCTCACGCTGACGGCGTTCCTCCTCCAATCTTTCCTGCTCCAATCGTAGAAGCTCAGCCTTGAGAGCTTCTTCACGCTCAAACTCCTCAATTTGCAGAAGAATATGCCGTAATTCCTCGGCTTCCTCTAGTTCTTGAGCGCGCCTTTCTGCGCGTCTAGAAACAACACCCTCTTTCAGTGCCTGGAGGTCCTCCATTGTACAAGTGCAAGTTCGCCAACGTCGGGAGCAAACGTAACAGAACTGGGTGCCACACCTACAAGTCATGTGTTGGCAAGCCTCCCTATGCTCAACCAAAGCGTTGCAGTTGAAACATCGCTTCCAACCCTCGTCCTCGGCCAGTTGGTTTGTGAGACTCATATCGACATCTTGAGGGCAATCATCTCCAGCATGAGCAGGCCCACGACATAACGTGCATGTTACATGAGAGCGATCGCATATTCCTTGACGCTTTCCGGGATAGATCCGCTTGGGCTTGATCCAGAGGTTACAGTTTGGATTGCTGCAGTAGACACGGTCGCTGACGGGGAGCTCCCACTCTTTAGATCGGTCTTCAAATGTCTTCTTCAGGTCCGAGGGGATGAAACGCGTGACGGTCTTGACGGGTATCTCGTTTAGGCAGCACTTGGGTGGCCACTGTTGTTCATTCTGGCATGCAGCAGTAACCAGGCGAACAAAACAGTCGCGACAATAGTTATGACAAGGCACTTTGATGACGTCCTTGGGATGAAAGTCGTCCAGACAGGACACACATTCCCTGAGATTAGGTTGTTAGTAGGGGAACCTCATATACGGTGCCAGAACTCACACTTCCTCGACGCAGTTTAGTTTAGCCAACCGCCCGAGACCTTCACTAGCATTCTCAGCTTCCGCAACCTGTTCTTGCAAAGCTCCGAGAGCGGCACCCGTGGCACTACTCTCACCTCGCTCATCACTGCGCTGGAAGAAACGCCGAAGGGCAAAAAGGCGTCTCTTATTTGCTCTTGTATCGGCTTTGGTGACAACGCTAGGACCAAAAGTTGTCATGAGAATTTCTTTTTTAATCTTGGGGGGAGGTACGGCGTGATCCGCTTTTACCTCGACTGAAGGTTCTGCAGGTATGATGATGGGCAGATAAGGCTCCTTGCTTTTACCTTTCTCATTTTCCTCTTGCTTTCTTTGCTCCTCATTTTCTTTCTTTTGGCGATCTTCTTCAATGATTCTTGCGTTAACATTCTCAACTGAAGACTGAAGTACGTCGAGAAGGACTTGAGACGTGATATTTGGTGCCTTTCTCAATGCCTTTGGTGGATTATATTTGTGCCAGTCGAGGTCAAGAATATCAAGATCGGGTAATTTCTTGACCGCCCAAGAAATTCGCTGCTCTTGCTTCTCCCTAGACGTTTCAGAGCCGTTGAGAACTTCAAAGGGGCTCTCATAGAAATCGAGGTAATCTTCAGGTCCGAAGGCACCAGGCATGAGGGGCTGTTCACGACTCAACCCTGCCATGCCTGCTCTTGTTGTCAACATGAAAGCACCCTCTCGCCCGAATAAAAATAAAAAAAGGCGCCAACCGGAGAGGTCAAGAATAGAGTATGCCTCTAGTAAGAAACCAAGCAATGATATGTTTGACTGGTCGAACGGGTCGATAGCGTTGATCATACGACAGAAAGTTATATATTTGAGTCGATTAGGTAGTAGAGAGGTGTCAAGGACTAGATCTGCAGGTCAACCTACCCGATCCTGGTGGCCCCGTGTAAGCTAATCAACCGTCCATATGCTGGCTGAGCTCTCTCCAGGAAGCATGGGAGCGTCTGTAGGCAAGGGAGTAGTGCCTAATAGTTCTCTTCAGGGTCATGATATGACCAATTTGTCACATCACTAGCTCAACCAGGCACTCTTTAGGCCCAGAGTCAGCCCTGGGGGCAGTCTTAGAGAGAGGCTATCATAGCATGCCATGGAATGCCTTGGGGATGGAGCAAGATCCTGATGAAAGGATGGCATGTGGCCAATCAGACGCTCCATCTCGTGGCACGCTCGCATTTGCCTGGCCATGTCTGGGTTTCTGCCGCAGAAGCGGGCGAAGTGGCACACGCTGTTTAGAGGACCATTAGGAATGAGGCCGAGTTTCAGCTCATATTCCTAGCGTGTCTTAGACGGTGCGCGTGGTCTGAAAGTGGGAGAACTGTAGCCTGAAACGGGTGAGGCCATACTAATATTAGCGGTTTGGTGTAGCTGTAAGTGGTTGGATGTTCAGTGCAAGGCAGATCGGGCGTTGACAGTGGAAGATACTAAGTTAGCGGGTTGGATACAGTGTATGTTGGTAATGGGACCCCTGGTTGTTGGTGGCTATTCCGCCTGTATTCCGCATCTCAGTCAGACACATCAAGATTTGGCTACGTTGGAGGTATAAAGGAAGTCATTAGTTTTGATGATCTTATCTCGATAACTGGCACCTGTAGAACTATCTTCTATCACTGGGTGTTACAGGGATGGACATCGATCTATTTGTCCTTGGGGTCTCACAAGACAATCAACCAGAACCCCAGAGTTACCTGGTGGGTAGACAGCCGTACCTTAGTACCTACCAATAGTCTCCACAATGATACTTCAATATTTCCCCAGCCAAAGATATCTCGACTTTAGTGATTACATCAACACTCGAATTATTCGATCGTGATTAACCCCGGCCAAAACCAATCAATAAATATGGCACGCCTCTCAGGACTCCAAAAAGAGGTCCTAGCACTCTATAGAAACTGTCTAAGAGAGAGTCGAAAGAAGCCACAAGTATGAACGGATTATTCATTCGGGAGCTCTGTGACTGACATCGGACTCAGGCAACTCGCTCACATTTTGAGAGCTTTGCCAGGTGAGCTACTCCCAAACTTCCATTTTAGTTATCAATACTCTAATATCTCACCAATAGACATGAGTTCTCTAGGAACTTGGCTATCGATAAGCGCGACTTTGCCGCCATTGAATTCCTCTTAAGGAAAGGACGACGCCAACTTGAGGTCTACGGCTCACCAGGCATCAAAGATATAAAATAGACGGCATCCAGCGGCTCCTGCCTCTCCCTCCAACGTTCAGTTGGATGTATTCGACTGAAACAATGTGGCAAGAGATGTAAAATTATCACCTTGTATAGTACCTTCCAATACTTGGCCGAGCAAGTTCTCGGAATCATCACAAACCCAACATTACCTCGGCCAAGTTTCCCTCATCCATCACCAGCACAAACTCATTGTATTATCACTCTACCATACCGAAATAACCAAGCCCTCCTTTGTCTCATACAACCAGCTCTTTTAGACTCTTATAGCTCGTGTATTGCAGAATGGTCATGTCAGAATCTAACACTGGCCCTCACAACTCAAACTTGCCCATCACACGGAAACCTCATTCTGTCAGCGATAGCTCAAGGGCTCGTGGGCGTACCATTTTTAGACCACGACGATCTGTACGCGTAAGGTACCAGAGCACGAACCAGCAACATCATGGCCCTCGGTCGAGTTCATCACCACCCGATGCAACTTCACATATAACAAGCCCAATAAAACAGTCTAGTCACGTTCAAGGAGCGAACGATAGCGCCGTGGAAATGCACTACAATTGTGAAACAGACTGGATGGATGATTTCGAGCCTGGTTCCGCCGCCTCTGGACCAGGAAAGCAACACAAAAGTTTCTTTGCTCATGACAGACAGTCAAGACGTGATATACCTTCGAGATCCGAATATCTCTCCAAAGACGACTCGCTACCTTCCAAGGACGCTCGTAGAGATGTCAGTCCCTTACAAATGTCCGAGGTCGGTATCTCAGAGCCCCCGAGAAAAGTGTCTCATTCGACTCTCGAAGGCCAATTATCCGAGATGGAGGCAGACGCGTGCCCTGCACCGTTGCATAGTCATGCTGCAGATGTCTTCAGCAATAACTCTGTCGCCCAAGGTCACCAGAATGTAAATGACGAAATCGTGGAGGCCATCTCGAGAAATATAGCCCAACAACTACAAATGCTATCAATCAAGAACACAACCGTTCGTGGACGAAGTGACACT